GCAACACAGAGAAGACAAGTAGTGACTCTACCGCATCTTACAACACTGATGGACAGTGACTGTAATGGGGTTTGTGGGGGGGGGACTTGGTGAAGGGGAGAGCCTAGTAAACCTAATGTTCCTCATGTAATTGTAGATTAATGATACCAAAAAAATAAATAAAAGCCTGTACCTTGCTCTCCTAAAAAAAAATAATAATAAGGGTAAAGATAAAGGATAAAATTAATGAAACAGGGGACACTTAAAAAGAAACAATGGTAGACTCAATGTAAAACAAAGAGTTGGTAATAGTATAAATAAGTAAAATAGACAAATATATATGGCAAGTGTGATAAAAGAAAGCACAAACATCACTGAGAAGTAAAAGGGTAATATAAAAACAGATATAGAGTTATTAAAAGCATCCACCAGATAGAAAGTAGCATTAAATATATGTTGAATGAATTCCCTAAACTTTATACCAACATATCTGATAGTCTAAATGAAATGGATAATTCTCTAGGAAAATATAAATGACCAAAATTAACTCAGGAAGAACAAGGTCTGAATAGACACAACTGAAAAGATCATCAAAAATCTGTCTCCCACTAAAAGGTACCAGATTCAGATGGTTTTAGAGGCTTATTCCTCAAACTTTCAGGTAATAGATAATTCCTATGTGATCTAAATGATTCCAAAGCATAGAAAAATATGATTTATTCCAAATTCCTTCTGTGATGGGAGCACAACTCTGATATAAAAACTAAAGTTAGCACATTCACCAAAAGAGAACTGTAAGCCAATGTCATTTTAACATAGATGTAAAGAACCTAACTAAACTATTTAGAAAAATTATCAAACAGAACATTACAAAATAATATAATATGACCAAATATGATTCATTGAAGAATTCAACAGAAGTCTAACATTAGGAATTCTTTCATTTATCACATTAATAAAAAAGAAAAATATATAATCTCAAGGTGTGGAAAATTAATATGCTCAAAGTTAACACAATATTGAATTTTAATAAAATGTCCAAAACCTCTTAACCTAGAAACTGAATGGAATTCACTAGTTTGGTAAAAGTCATCCCTCAGAAATCAATAGTAAATACATTGGAAAAAAGATGGCAGTGTGAGTAGTGTGGTGGAAATCTCCTCCCAAAACCACATATATTTTGAAAATACAGCAAATACAACTATTCCTAAAAGAGTGACCAGAAGTAACAGTACACCAGCCAGTCTACATCTGAGGGAAGTTAACATGTCATGGAAAAGGGTAAAGTAAAAAGCCATGACCTGGTGGAAACCAAGCACTCCCCCAACCCCAGCTCATTGGAGGGAGGAAAAGAATCAGAGCGGGGAGGGAGTGGAAGCACAGGACTGCTAAATACTGAGCCGTAGAAATCTACCCCGGGAGCACAGACCCACAGTGCATGGTGCTCTGGAGATTGGAGGGGCTGAAAAGCAAAATCTGAGATTAAGACTGCAAACAGGTTTCCACAACTGGCTGCCCTGGGACAAAAGAAAAACAGCAGCTTTAAAACTCTTAAAGGGGCAAAGGTTTAGGGAAGGAATAGTTGGACAAAATTATCCTGGCACACTCAGCCCAGCAGGCTGGGAACTTTCAGGAGCTTCAGCTGCCCTATGCCCCTGATTGGCAAGGCAGCCCCAAGGTCCCTCACCATGGTAAGAAGCCTGCCGCTCCTTGCTCCGCACCGGCACATGCACGCAAACTGGCTGTCCCCATCATTGCTGCAGACAAGCTAGAGGGCAGCCTCGCCTATGGGAACTACATGGCTTCATGCAGAGTCTTCTCCCTGTGTGTGGCTATTCAGCCCAGACAAGAGGCTGCTTAGTGCATGCGGTGGACAGGCACAGACAGTGAAGGCAGGCACTGAAACTGGGAGGCACGAAAGGGCTTTGTTCTCATGGCAGAACCTGCACTGCTCACCCGTGACCCCTGCCAGTGCCCTGGGCCAACCTGAGTGCCGGCCCACCCTGCCCACGGCAGTTTAGGGGATTAACCCAGAGGCTGCTCCCTGTGCGCGGTTAACTAGGACGGACAGCAGAGACAGGCACTGAGACCACGAGCCACGACAGGGGTTTGTCCTCATGGCAGACACATGCACCACTCACCTGCGACCCCCATCATCATCCTAGGCCATTCCCAAGGGCCACCCTGACCATGGCAGTTTAAGCAATTAACCCAGAGGCTGCTCCCTGAGTGTGGTTAATGAGCACAGACAGCAGAGACAGGCGTGGTGACCAGCAAGCAGAAAGGGACTTTGTCCTCCCAGCTGACACCCACATCACTTGCTGGTGACCACTCCCATTGCTCCAGGATTATAAAAAGGCAAAAGAACCTTGTTCAATCCAAAATCTCTCAAATATCACAAAGAGGGCTCGGTGAGACTGAAATCACCCATCTGCCTGAAAAAGAACTCAAAATAAAAGTCATAAGCATACTGATGGAGCTATAGAAAAATATTCAAGAGCAAAGGGGCAAATTCAGGAAAGAGACAACTGTAATGGAACAAACAAAGGAGGGATTTAAAAGCAGATTAGATGAGGTGGAGGAGATTGTTAATGGAATAGAAATCAGAGAAAAGGAATACAGAGAAGCTGAGGCACAGAAAAAAAAAAGGACCTCTAGGAATGAAAGAATATTAAGAGAACTGTGTGACCAATCCAAACGGAAAAATATTAACATAGACAGTGTCACTGAGGAGGTAATTGCTGAAAACTTCCCCAATTTGGGGAAGGAGATAGTCTCTCAGGCCATGGAGGTACACAGATCTCCCAACACAAGGGACCCAAGGAGGACACCAATACATATAAGAATTAAAATGGTAAAGATCAAAGACAAGAACAGAGCATTAAAAGCAGACAGAGAGAGAAAAAAGATAATCTACAAAGGAAAACCCATCAGGCTATCATCAGATTTCTCAGCAGAAATTTTACAGGCCAGAAGGGAGTGGCATGATATATTCAATGCAATGAAACAGAAGGGCCTCAAACCAAGAATACTCTATCCATCGAGATTATCATTTACATTTGAAGAAGGGATTAAACAATTCCCAGATAAGCAAAAGTTGAGGGAATTTACCTCCCATAAACCATCTCTACAGTGTATTTTAAAGGGACCTCTCTAGACAGAAGTATGCCTAAGGCTAAATAGCTGTCACCAGAGAAAATAAAGCCACAGCAAAGAAAGTAGACCAACCAAATACTAACTAAATGCAAAATTAAATCAGCTACCCACAAAGTCAGTCAAGGGATACACAAAGAGTACAGAATATGACACCTAACATACAAAAAGTGGAGGAGGAAAAAAAAGAAGGGAGAGAAAAAAGAATCATCAGACTCTTTATAATAGTGTAATAAGTGAGCCAAGGTAGACTGCTAGATAGTAAAGAAACTGCCCTTGAATCTTTGGTAACCAAGAATCCAAAGCCATAATGGCAATAAATATATATCTACTGATAATCACCCTAAATGTAAATGGAATGAATGCACCAATCAAGACACAGAGTTTCAGAATGGATAAAAAAGCAAGACCCATCTATATGCTGCCTACAAGAGACGCACCTCAAACCCAAAGACATACACAGACTAAAAATAAAGGGACAGAAAGTAAATTTCATGCACCTAATAGGGAGAAAAAAGCAGGAGTTGCAATACTTGTATCAGACAACATAGACTGCAAAATAAAGTAACAAGAGACAAAGAAGGACATTACATAATGATAAAGGGGGCAGTCCAATAAGAGGATATAACCATTATAAATATCTATGCAAGCAACACAGGAGCACCTACGTATGTGAAACAAATACAAACATAATTAAAGGGGGAAATAGAATGCAGTGCATTCATCTTAGGAGACTTAAAACACTCCACTCACTCCAAAGGACAGATCAATCAGACAGAAAATAAGTAAGGACACAGAGACACTGAAGAACGCATTAGAACAGATGGACCTAACAGATATCTATAGAACTCTCCACTCAAAAGCAGCAGGAAACACATTCTTCTCAAGTGCACATGGAACATTTTCCAGAATAGACCACAGACTAAGACACAAA